TTGCGCATGTTTGGATATATGTCATTTAAAATTAATTGTTAATTAATTATTTAAAAATCAATTGTGGTTCTGATAATATGAACAAACAACACTTTTTTTTTTTTTTCATTGAACCTTAGCTGCAACAGTCCACAATTATTTGAAACGATATGGTATCTATATTTTAATTTAGAACATAATCATCCTCATTTCCTAATAAGATAGGATGCACAAATCCAGGTCACATCATCATTCCTTATTTGGAATTCTTATTTTCTAATAAGGTAGGATGCAGAAATCCTAGTCACATCATCATTCCTTATTTGGAATTCTCATTTCCTAAAAAGAAAGGATGTACATACCCATGTCACATCATCATTCCTTATTTGGAATTCTCATTTACTAATAAGGTAGGATGTAGAAATCCAGGTCACATCATCATTCCTTATTTGGAATTCTCATTTCCTAAAAAGAAAGGACGTACATACCCATGTCACATCATCATTCCTTATTTGGAATTCTGCCTGGTGTGTTGTAATATAAGTTTGTTTGTTTCTTTTGACCAGGTGATGATAGCATTGCTAAAAACTTAGAAAACAGAGTTAGAGTGCTGGTATGGGTTGCCACATACCCTGCAAACAAAGAAAGTAAACTGAAACATGTGAAAGCAACTTGGGCAAGGAGAATTGATAAAGTACTATATATGAGTTCGGAAGAAGATAAGAGCTTTCCAACTATTGATTTAAAAGTTGTCGAAGGAAGGAATGCACTTTGGGCAAAAACGAGAGCAGCTTTCCAGTACATTTATGATCACCATCTTGATGATGCTGATTGGTTTATGAAAGCTGATGACGACACGTACGTTGTCGCTGAAAATTTGAGATATTTTCTGTCAGATAAAGATCCAACCCAGCCATTGTATTACGGCCGGAGATTTAAGCCATATGTTGCACAAGGTTACATGAGTGGCGGTTCTGGGTATGTGATCAGTCGCGAAGGACTGAAACGACTGGTGGAGAAAGCCTTCAAAGACACAAAAAAATGCAAGGGACCATCTAATAATGGAGCTGAAGATGTAGAAATGGGCAGATGCCTGGACAGTGTGGGTGTTATCGCTTCTGACAGTCGTGATTCAAATGAACGGGAAAGATTCCATCCATTTGTACCTGATCATCTATTGGTTCCTGATACACTACCTAAAAATTTTTGGTATTGGCAATATATATATTATAAAACTCCACAGGTATGTATCATTCTATATTTTTTTATTAAATAATTTTTGGAGGCATTGTTCACTTACATGTAGAACTCTTGGAAAGATGTCTATACATAGAGCCATCATTTGTACAGTAATTACAAAGTGTTACAGACATGAAATATTTCATTTCATACTACAATTAGAACTTGTATAGAACCAATATTATATATAATAATAATAATAATATTTATTGCATCTTTAGAAATACAGTATTTCTATCAGTACAGTAGCAATAAAAGTATAACAAAGTATAATAATAATAATGAAATAATAATTTATATCTGCAAATGTAAAGGAAAGATTCCACATTTCAAACATCTTAAACCGTTTGTTCAAAATATTCAGAACACTGAATATGTTATTGCCAACAAAAAAGGGTAATTAAATGCACATATTAAGAAATGGGGTAAATTTCTGACTGTATTGACCATGTAAAGGTATTTCATATGAGATTTATGTGAAACTGAAATGTATCTTTTAAGGGACTTGAATGACTCAATAAAAAAATATCTTAAATATAAAAAAATAATGAAATAATAAAGAAAGAGAAAATATTATAATGTTAAGTATAAACGTAAAATGTAATGTATTAAAATTTTTACTAATACTAGCTAATAAGTTTAATAATAATAAAACTAAGACTAATAATAAAATTAAAACTATCAACTATCTATTAAAGTTATAAGTAGTAACCAAGAATATTTGGTAGCAGACTAAGCTTTGTCAGGTGATTATCTTCCCGAAATATGCTAATTTTATCTTGAGAGGTCTTGCAATCATGGCCAAATACCCAATTTATATCTTCATGATATATTCGCTTGTGTAATATGTCACAAAATCCCTGTTTAGTTTGTATCGTGTTTTATCATTATACTGTCTTATCTTGGATTGTGCTGCTATCACAAGTGGTGCTAAAGGTTATAAAAAGCAATTTTACAATTTAAAAAAAAGTGATATCCAATTTTGTAGATATACAAAATATTTCTACGTGAATTTGAGGCTGTCTTTGTGTGAACTGGCATTCTAATATATTAAGGGTAGACCCAAATTTACCGGATGTGTGGTGCCCTATTCTAGAATGTGTATATAACGTTTTCACCACCTTACTTTCTCACTTTATGCACTTTTTTTCTTATATTCTTCAATATTTCTGGAAATGAACCCTAATTTTGGAACCAACAGACAAAATTTGAGTAAATTTTCAGTTTTTACTGAAATATTTGGCTATTTTTGTCCCAATCTTCTATAGGAAAATGCAGACTATAAACGGGACCATTTTGTGAATTTGTGATGAAAAGAAGGAGCTGGTGGTGAAATAAAATACTAAGATTTTGTTGAACTTGTGCATAGACAGTGAAGTGCTTGATAAGATCAGCCACAAATTTAAAATATTTCAACTAATTGGGGAATTTAGATAGATTGATTATTGATTGCAAAAGAAAAAAAAAATTATATTTAATTATAAAATTCTGTTATTTAAATATACATTTACTGAATGTTACCTAAATCTTAAAACGTGATACTGTGGAATACTTTATTTTAGCTGGAATTAATTTTCGCTGAAAAAGCTTTTTGGGCATTTTGTATGGAATTTATTTTCACTGATTTTTGATGAGTTTAATGTGAAATATAGGGAAAAAAGTATATACGCTGGATTTTATTTTCACGGAATCATCCCTTCAGCGAAAATAGCGAAAATAAATTCCAAGCGAAAATAAAGTATTCTACAGTAATTTGACGTGTGGCAGTCAGCTGATGAAGTTACAGGTCAAAACACTTTTGCACGTTTTGGTTCGAAAATTTTGGCTTACATGTGATAAAGTTCATTTCCCCCTCAATTTTGATTCCTCTTTATTTTAATTTATGGGAAATAATTGCTGTTTTTTTCCATCATTAAAATAACACATTTGCAGCTTGTTGCAACAGGTTGCTAAGATTCTGAATGAAATACCCCAATCATGTTCATAGTTGTTGTCACGTGTTGACTGTTAAAATTTTCATAATTGCATACCATGTGGTGAGATACATGCTTTTATGAGCTCGTTGAACTCGCCAGGATAGCTAGCCTAAGACTGCAAATAAAAACTATACCTACTGTAATAGCGTGTCATTACGTGGTGACAAAGAATAACATCTGGTGTAGTTACTTCTCTTGTATTGAGTTGTATAGCTTTGCATGGCACCGCACGTTATTTTTTCAAATATTTTTTGTTTTTCTGCCAAATATTTATCTTGATAATACAAAGTATAAATAAATTGCTCAAATAATATTTGCATGTGTGCTGGTTTACATGGTTTGTTCTCATCTTTGTTTGGCTTCCGATCACCAGGAAAAATATATATTCACCTATATTGAGTTTCTTTCAATATGGTTGTAATAAAAAAATATCTTATCTTATCTTATCTTATCTTATCTTATCTTATCTTATCTTATCTTATCTTATCTTATCTTATCTTATCTTATATGAATAAAAAATAATCAAAATAAATTGTACTCCCACGCAATATAAAGATAATGACTTAAAAAAAGGTTTGGAGACACTGACATTTTTTTTTTCTCAGGAAATTGTGCATTTTCATAAAAGGTAACCATTTTGGCAGTATTATTACGCTTTTATCATTGTTTTCTTTGCTGGAGCTAGTATTCCCTAATCACAAGTTGTAGGCTGGTAACATAAGGTAAAAAAAATGATGTATCGTACATCGTGACATGAGGTACTGTTTACTCCCTGACATAGTTTGAAAACAGGGACTTATAGTTTCATCTCCATCTGTTCATCCATTTGTCCTGACCTGTAACTGCCTGCATGGGCATACACCACGCATCATGTCATATATATCCACATTTATTTGTTTTATGATTCAATTCAAAATGGTAGAATGGCACCATTCAATGCTAAAATGTATCCAAATTTCTGCCATTCAATTTCTAGAACAGGTTCTCAGTTGTGCTTGAGAATATATTTTATTCAAATTTACTATGTATGTTTCGCTTCATGGATTCTTGATGCGCAACTTTATTTTTTTTCTAGATAAGATTCAAAATGACTAACTGGTGGCCATTTTATAACGAATGCTGTTCCAGGACATGCCATTCAAACTGTACACATGCACCATACATCATGTCAGACATATGCAATGTGATTTGATGATCATTTTAATGTTAAACATGCATCAAAGTCAAGCATTTCTGCCATTCATGAACTGGATCTCAGTCATGCATGAACCATATTTAGTCCCCGTTCGGACGAAGTCCGAAAACGGGGACTTATAATTCGGTCTTCGTTCGTCCATGCGTCTGTGCATCCGTGCGTCCATCCGGAGTCGTGTCTCAGAATCCCTTGGGTCGATTCTGTTCATTCTTTGCATGTGCCTAGTACTTTATGTGGGACATATGCACATGCAGTGGTTTAGCGTTACAATTCAAAATGGCCGACTGGCAGCCATCTTGTTTTTTGAAAATGTTGTATTTTGGACATGCTTTGTCAGTTTTCATTCAAACTTGGTACATAGATTATTCATGTTAGGATACATGTCCATGACGATTTATTTTGCAATTGGATCAAAGATTTTATGCGGTATCTTGTCAGTTTTCATTCAAATTTGGCACATACATGTACTTTATACATGTTAGGATGCATGTCCATGACAATTTGTTTCAAAATCTAGTCAAGGATGGCCGATTGACAGCCATCTGACTTTTTGGCCTTACTACTATATTTCCACAATTTATGTACCATTTTCATTTGAATTTGGCACATACATCATATACATATCAGTGTATTTCATAATCAGATCAAAGATGGTCGAATAATGGCTGTTTTTAATTTTGGCCATATTACTACTACTACTAAAACGCGTGTTTTGATGTAAATAAACAATCTTTTGTATATGCCACTTGGAACTCAAGTTTCAAGGACACGCTCGTGACAACCTCTCCGCTTTAATATGACCAGCACAAAGAGAACTTTCAAACATTTAACGGGGACTGTGTCATTTTCAATGACTTGTTTCATTTAAACCTGCTACATACATTGAATATAATGAGTTCTTGATGCACAGCATTTTTTTTCGGATCGTATTCAAAATGGCTGATCTTTTTCACACATTTGCACATGCATTTATTTTGCAATCTGATTCAATATATTAGCCATTTTAGTGCTAGAAGTACATGATGAATATAAAAATAAATCATTTTTTTTTAAAAATATTTGACCATTTTCTGCATGAGCATAAGAGCATGATCTAAAAATAAATCATTTTTTAAAGAATATTTTGTTATTTTCTGTAAATAAATACAGGACTGCTCACAGTTACACAGAATATTGCTGTTTCATGTTACAATATAAATATTACTTCGTGGTTGTACATAATAAACTATCGTGATAAACATTGCAAAAATTGAGTAGGGTACTACCTTAAATCAACCACAAATTCAGGAAACATAAAAATCCATACAGTGGAAACATAGACGATGTGCAGTGCGTTATTTTATTCATTATCATTTTCTGTGTTTTATTTTCACAGGGTTTGGGATGCTGTGCTGATCATACAATAACCTTTCATTACGTTGGCCCCAACTTGATGTACTCGCTGGAATACTTGTTATATCATCTCAGACCATTCGCTGTGGAAAAAAGTGTATGTCAAGCTGTGACTCCAGCCGTGTCATAAAATTGAACCAGTACACAGTGCAATAAACGATTAATGGGAACAACTTCACCTGTTGAGTAGAAGCACACAGCAGAACCTCTGAAAACAAATATTAGTGTTGTATATTCTTCAGTACTAGAAATCTAGGTCATCACCTGGATATGTTATTTTACTATGACCACTATACTTCATAGCAGTCCTCCCAATATACAGAGTGTTGTATAGTGTGCTGTATAAAAGTCAATAGTTGTGAAGACAAAACTCTGTATTTATTGAATTTTACTCAATTTTAGCAGATTGTTTTACACATTTCAGACTACTCATGGATGCTGTTATCTGAAGATTTTTAAAAAAAAAAATGTATAATAAATGTAGATTAAATTTAAAACAAAAGGTTGCAATTTGCATTTGAGACTTTTTTGAAATTATATTTATCCACACTACTGATGGGGAATAGGTGATTTTCAGTCACTGTGAACTCTTACATAATGTGTGAAAGATGGAGTTTGAATGTCTGCCATAAAAATCAAATAATTAGATTTTGAAATTGAATTTTCTGTTTTTTTATTGTTCAATTCCTATCTTCCAGTGAGGATATGCCGTTGATGTATCCTCCATCAAAATTGACCATCGTCAAATGTGTACATTATTAAGCACGGAAATACCTACAAAAATACTTTCATGTTTGTCCAATCCCATGCAATGTTTTGACATCACTTATAATGCTATGACCATGTTTGTCCTGTTTCTACATTTGATTTCACACGGTAGCTATGATTGGTCAGACGGGTTTTGAAATGTAATAAATTAACTGTAAACCCCACATCCATGGGTAACCTGAAATGAAAGTATTTAAAAAATAAATTACAATTTGTGTTAATTTTTAGTTTACAGCATTGAAATTTGAAATGTGACAAAGTATTTGAATGGCTACAGTAGGGTATGACACTATATAATATAGCATGTCGCCAGCTTTCATCCAATCTGTGCTTCTCTTTGGTTAATAGAGTTAGCACAGCTGGGTGCAAATACTGTGGAATACTTTATTTTCGCTGGAATTAATTTTCGCTGAAAAGGCTTTTTGGGCATTTTGTATGGAATTTATTTTCACTGATTTTTGATGAGTTTAATGTAAAATATAGGGGAAAAAGTATATATGCTGGATTTTATTTTCACGGAATCATCCCTTCAGCGAAAATAGCGAAAATAAAGTATTCTACAGTACATATATTCCCTGCCTCAATGCAAATAGGCAATCAAGCTGGCTAATTATTTTCTGAAAATACAACATTTTTTTTTTTTTTTTTTAAATATTACACAAAAAAGTAAAATGTTTTTTTGATAGTGTCTTAATTTATCATAAAATTTACTTTTATTAACTCAGTCATCAGAACACTATAAGCTCCAAAATGACATACAGCGTGTTTATAACAAGCAAACCAATTGTATCCTCATACCATGTGGTGCTACGACTGAGGCAATTTTAAAAAAAAACATCACTTAAAATTTTTTGAGGCTTGGAAGATGAGAAATTATTATATTCACCATAAATTACTTGTTTCCTTTATTGCGTGATAGCAAGGCAAGTTTGGGAGTATGTGCAATAAGGGTCTAGATGCAGTCAAGTCAATTATTTAAGCAAAAATCCCCATCCACTCTGTTATCAGGTAATAACAGGCAGTGCACAGTTCTTTATTTTAATTACAATACCCCCAAATTTACTATAAATGCTTTTGTATGCTTGAAATAAAAGAAATCAACCATGTGGTTAGTGAGTCTGTTATTAATAATTTTGTAGATGAAAGTGACCAGGATTTTTTAACATACCGGTAAATTAGACTATTTATTACTGTAAAATACTTTATTTTATCGGGAATTTTCGGTGTTTTTTATGGAATTTATTTTCACTGATTTTTTGCGAGATGATTGTATAAAACATTTTATTTTCACTGAATCATCCTTAAAGAAAAAATAGCAAAAATAAAGAATTTTACAGTAACTCGTGTCTCCATGAGAAGATAACGATGTTAACATACTGTTATAATCTCTATTTAACAATTTTTCTTAAATTTTGTTTTAATTTTAGGAGCCAATGTTAAAATGGCTACCACCCGAAAGCATACTGGTAACTATAACACCTTGTGTTATCCCAGTTGTATGGTATATTTTGTTTTGATACTTTTTTTAGATTCTGAGTTGCCATGGCTTCTGAGTTAATCTGTTTAAAAACTAGACTGGTGGTATAAATTATAAAAATTAGAGACATTTGTGAAAGCCAAAAAAAAAAATGAAATTTAGACCAAATTATATTTTTTGAAAATTAGTATTATTCGGTGCAACATCTGTGTAACATCTGTGTAACTCGCCAAACTGTTTTTACTGGGTATTGGTAGTTTAAGAGTTGTATTATTTTGCATGGAACATACCAGCAAAAGTCTGTGTGTGAGTAATTTATTTACATAGAAGGTGTGCTGCTATAGTGAATAATGAATGGATACCCACTTTTATATGCTGCGTGATGCACAGAGTTTTAGCACTAGGATACCCAAACACAGTTAAATGAATGTGTCGTTTTCTCGTGTAAACCAGATAGTATGTTATTTCTACCCGGTGAATGAAACTCCAGTATCTTTAAATTTTTTTTTTAAATAGACTTATATACAACACACTGTCTGTTTTTGTTGTATTCAGTATAGACATGGGTCACTTTAATTAAGCCCATCACAGCCTGATTTATCTCTTTAATATTTTGTGGGTCCTTTCCATGATAGGTTTCACTTCTGCTGTCAATAGATGATCATAATGTTGACTGATGTATAAAGCTTGCTGTTAATATGCTAATTTCTGAACAGTGGATGACAGTTATATGACCCCCTTCCCCATGTGCGATATTAACGTTCGATAGTTATATATATGTTGTTTTCCTATATGCAATTTGGTTAATGCATGATGTATAATGCCAAATAAAATAATTTCATGCCATTTTATTTGACTCCAATAACTTTAACACGCTCAGATCCAAAAACGATTTAACATGTATGAATATGTTAATTTTAGTGATGCACCTTAGTAGCAAATTTAATTGGAGATCGGTCACTTGTGTTTTGAGAACTCAGTTTATTACAAAGTTTAACAGGTACTAATAACATTATGTATATTAATGACTGTGGCGGCGGCACGGGGGAAGGGAGCAGTCGCCCCTCCAAAATCAAGCTGAAACATTTTGTTTCAGCAAAATTTCCCCCTCAAATGTGGGAAATTGCGTTTCAAGGGGTCTAAATTGTTAAGAGGAGCATGCCCCGGACCCACTAGTAAGGTTGCACCTTCTGAACAAGGTTGATGAGCAGATCGTGCCGTCGCCTCTGAATGTTGTAACATGACCATATATGGTCATTTGGTAGGTTGTTATGCTTCTTGTCCAATACCTTCATTATTGCATTGGTTACACATGGCCATCTGCAATAGTTCTATAAATATTAGGTTTATGCATAATCTGCAAAACCGTTTGATATATTACTGTTATGTTTATTAATTAGGTAAAATGGCCATATATGGTCATTTGGTAGGTTAGTTATGCTTCTTGTCCAATACCTTCATTATTGCATTGGTTACACATGTCCATCTGCAATAGCATGCCTGTGCATTATTCCAAGGCACCTATGTACTATGTACCTAGTTGCAGTGAATGGTTCTTCAGATATAAATAGAACGGCCATGCTCAATAATAAGACCAGCTGAATTTCAGGTCAATTATTATTATAGATTTACGGCGCATGGATCCTAAGGAACACAACTTCCCCCTCCCCCAATACTCTCCACTAAGTATATAGCACATTTCGAGAAACTTTTCAGCTGTGAAAACTAATCTTAACTGATCTCCGAAGTAGTACATAAAAAAAGCTTCGAACTCCATGTACAGTGTTAAGCCCCTATCAGAGCGAATACTAACCACAGCTCGCGGAATCAGTCAGGAATATAAGTGAAAAGCACCTAGCCTAGTCTATTTGTAACAAAACTACTATTAAATAAAATTGTTCAAAGTTATTGACAGATGGGTCATGTTTAAGGGAATAAAATTCTAATTTAATAGTTGTGACAGATGTGTATAAATTCACTTTGTTGTGACAGCTTGTGACATTAATGCTAATTCATAATAATCAGTATAATTCCAATCTCTTATTATATTATAGCGACACGGCCCATGAACTTTAATAGTAACCTTTTCAAATTTTTTTTTTTCACTATTAACATAATAACCCTCCATATTTTGTTCCATATGTATCATGCCAATGTAAATTATGCCTCTCTGGCATAAAAATTGAAGGCAAAGTTGCCCACATTCATCAACCACATCTTACATAAAATCACCCGCATTTTTACGAGTTTGCTGTAAAATTTATGGATGTAAGTTTAGGATCTTCAATAAATTGCACAACCACCAATAATCGCTGGATGAATAGATAATGTCTTCTTTTTTTCACCAATCGTAATCTGGGACTTCTCCAAACATGTATGTTATGCAAATTAGCTAGTTGGAATATATTATGCGTTTTATATTATTTGAAATATTCAGAATAAATTCATGATTTTTTTGGTCATCACCTTCGTGAGGTTCGTGACAAGTTGGCAGGTATAAACTACACTACTGGGTAATATGCAAAATGTTGGGCCAACATTTCGGCAGGAAAAGTTAGGGCATTCAAATGGTACATGTGGTTATGAATATTATACTGTGTTTGCTTATGTTTATATGTTATGGATATTTGCAAATGATTAACAGCAGTTATTAGCATAGCCACACATTGAATTGGGCCTTTAAGGAACTCGAATTAGTTATTGATTTCCATGATATTAAAACGCCATGGAACAATCAAGTACGAAGTTTTAAAGATAAGTCTGTGCATATTAAATAGATTAATTTGCATACTAATAATTACAAATTATTATTGACAAGAAATAGTTTTTTAATTAATGCAATTGGCACTATCAATCTCTGAAGTCAGATAGTTGTCCTCAGTGAGTAAAAAAGGATGACGAGAAACGGACAAACATGTCAAAGTAATTCATAACAAATATGCTACAAACTGACATTCCTGATTTTGATAAAAAGGCGTACCAATATAAATGTGTAAACTGTCGACCCTATACAAACAAAAATACTGTTTGTAGAACAGTAGAG